GGGCCCCGCCTCGGGGCGCCGCAGGGCCCGCCTCTCGCTCCGCGCCCGCCGCTGAGGGGAAGCCGAGCGCGGCCCCGGCGGGCGGGAGGGCTGTGCGGGGGAGAGGGAGCGGTCTGCTCGTGCTACAAAGATGCAGCAGGAGCCGTCGCCTGACGATGCGCTTAGTAGCAGCCTAGTTAAGTGCCGGGCAGGAGTGTGGCTTTTGTGTCGGTGCGCAGAGACCGCTGCGGAGCTCCGGGGCCGCCGAGTCCGACGACCCCCGCGGTGGTTGTGGAGAGCCGCTAGGCAGGACCCGGAACGCAGCTGGGCTGTCGGCCGGGTGTTGCCCCCACGTAGTGATCTGGCAGATGAAAACACAGTGAATGCTGCTTTGTGCAGAGCTGTTGTTTTCAAGGAATCACAGAATGGTTTGGGTTGAAAGGGACCTCAAAACCCATTCTGTCCCACCCCAGCCACAGGCAGGGCTGCCCCCCAGCAGCTCAGCTGCTCAGGGACCCATCCAACCTGGCCCTGAACACCTCCAGGGATGGGGCACCACAGCTTACATGGCAGCTGTGCCAGCGCCTCACCACCTTCTGAAGGGAGTATTTCCTCCCAACATCTAACCTAAACCTTCCCCTTGTGCTACTGCTATCAGCATCCGTGTAAAAAGTCAGACCTCTTCTTTTTATAATCTCTCTTTAAGTACTGGAAGGCCACAATGAGGTCCCTCTGGAGCCTCCTCCAAGCTGAAGAAACCCAGCTTCCTCAGCCTTTCTTCGTAAGACAGGTGCTCCAGCCCTCTGATCATCTCTTTGGCCCCCTCCTGGACCTGCTCCAACATCTCCATGTCCTTCTTGTGCTAGGGCTCCCAGGCCTGGATGCAGTACTCTAGATGGGTTCCCACAAAAGCAGAGCAGAGGGCAACAATCCCCTCCCTCTCCCTGCTGGCCACCCCTCTTCTGATGCAGCCCAGGATACTGCAGGAGTACACTACTGGCTCACATCTAGCTTTTCATCCACCATTACTCCCAAATACTTCTATGCAGGGCTGTTTTCACTGTATTCTTCTCCCAGTTTGTATACATACATACCTGTGACTGCCTCAACCCAAGTGCAACAAGACCTAAGTAATGTGTTTCATCCCTGGAGGAAAACCCAGGAGGAACTCAGCAGCGCCTGGCTTTCCTGGAAGTAGCTGTCCCTCAGGAGGGAGAAGCAATGCTACGTGGCAGCCATCCCTCACACTCAGCTCCAACTTGCATTGCTTGGTGGAAATAACGGAAATACACTCTGGAGATCATACTGCAGCACAAACCTGGAAAAGCACAACTGGAACACAGCTTGGATCCAGGTCACAGAGGGCAGGAGAGTGTGTGGTGTATGGGACCACAACATGGGTGCCAACACTTTGGACAGTGGGATGTTCAGTAGTTGGCATCAACTGAAAACAACCTGTGTGAAATGGTTAATAGGAAGTTACCTCTCCTTGTTCAGGAAACACAGGCAAGCTAAACCTGACAAATAACCAGATTCAGACCTCCTCATAAAGTAAACTGTCAATTTTAATTAACCAAAAAACGTGTAATCCTTTCATTTGTCATGCTGTGAACTGCCTTACTCCAGCCGGCTCCGATGCTTACATTTGCAATTCCCTTACTCTGTTTGGTTCTATGGTATCAGTAGGGTGGTCTTGCATGAAAGCAGGAGCTTCCCCTTCCTCCAGTACCTAGCAAATTAAAAGTGGGGGGGGGGGAAAAAGAGCTTCAGGGCAGGAGCTACCTGTGAATTTGTGCTTAATCCAGTATTACTGCGCTCGTGTTACTATCACTTTATTCTTGACTGCAGCCTGCAGTGACGTGCAGCTGGAAGGAGTCTGTTGTCCACAGCCTCTAGCTCAGCATCAAAATGAAGGAGTCCTGGGCGTTCACATAAGCACAAGGAGCAGCAGTTCACCTGGTATTTAAAAATCAGTTCAGAGCAAGTACTTTAATCTCTTTTGCAGGTAACCATCCCTCTTCCATAAAGCCCCATTTCTTCCTGAAGTAATTTCACAGACATCAGATCCCAAGCACTCTTGAATAATTGATGGCCTAGGTTGTAACAAATCTTTTTCATGAATATCTATAACCTCCTGCCAATAAATAATTAACTGTTCATTAACAATACTAGGGATACAAAAATGTTAAAACAAAAGCTTTTCATTTTTTTAGTTTTTAATTGATTCTCCCCACATATTTCCTATCACGGAAATGATGAAATTTGATCATAGTACCAAGTGTTACAATATTAAAAAATTCCAACCAGTAACATGACCAATAAAATTTATTAAACATTATATTTACAACTATTTACATATCCTTCCATAGATTAATATTAAAATAGACAATATACAATTTAGAATTTTCATTCAAAGGCATTTTGTTGGAAAAAATAGGCTCTATTACGAGACCACCATATAAGAGAAAAAAAGTTGTTGCTTTTTTTTTTTTCTTTGTTTGCTTTGTCTTTGTTTTACACAAAAATATTTTCAGCATAGTAAGTCATAGGTATGGCGTTACAACAGCAGACTAACATGAAATATGGTTTTGTAAATGCTACAGTTGTTCAGGTTTCGGTTATTGAAGTCAAGGAGCTCGGGGTTCTGTGAAGCATGCAACACGGGTCAGTTTCAACTCTTTTACAGTTATGGTGATGAAACAAGCAGCTAAATCAAACACATGCCATAGTAAAAGAACTGCCAACCAGGAACACACTACACTCAATAAAAACGACAACTTTGGTCCAATAAAACATTAGACAAAAACAGTTTTACAGTTAAAATATCTATTTTGTACAGGTTTGAACATTAATTACAAGACTATTTACATTTGCACAATATGTATAAAATAAATTATTTAAAAATGAAGACAATATTACATCTTTTTCCAAAAAGAAAAAACTATACAGTAATTTACAAAATACAATAAGATTAATAGACTATTTTCCTCCAAGTCTGATTTTTCTTCTACAGACTTTTCATCTTATTCCCCCTCCCCCCCCGCCCCCCCGTAGCAGTCCCACTGTTACCCAAGTTTCATGATACAAAGCTTCCTAGCAGATTTTAGGTATCATTTTGTTTTGGTGGCTGTTTGTGTTACAGCTGCCAGCGCTGTTAACTCACCATGTTTCATCATCCTTGTCAGCAGTAAGCCCTGAAGCCATAGGCAATTTTGAAATAAAGGTAATGCTATTTTCTGGGAAACTGACTTCAGAATAAGCGTCCATCTCTGTGTTGTGAACAAGACCCCATGCCACATTTTTCTGAATAGTTATTGGGAAAGGCAGTATTCTACATTAAGTGTTCATTAATAAAGTGTTCTGTCTTAAAAGAAAAATACCTTTGTGAATCGCTGCACCTCAGTCTCTGGCAGTCCAAAGGCAAAAGCCAGTAGGTACTGGTTGTCATATTGGTGTCAATTCAAAGTCGTCATTAACATCAACAAGAGGAACGTAGAATTCCTGAATTTCATAAATGCTGATGGATTTGTACGTAGCAGGATCGAGTTCTTGTAGTTTAAGCTGCCACTCCAGCCTTTGTACTGCATTTAAAGCTGCTGCTTCATGCTGCTGCCTCATCAAAAGGCACGTCTGTTTTGGAATGCAGAAGGAAGTTATTTCAATATCAGAAAATGCTGCAGCACGAGCTTCAAAACAGAAAAGACATCTACGAGCCTCTTTGGTGGCAGCACCTGCCCCAAGTCTCTATTTAAATAATCAGATTATTCCATCACAAAGCTCGTTTTTTTGTTTTGTTTTTAATATTAGCAGACCTTCTTTCATGTTGCCTTTATAACGTGGAATCATGGAATCATTTGAGTTGGAAGGCATCTTTAAAAGCCATCCAAGTCCAACCCCCCTGCAACAAACAGGGATATCTACAATAACTTATGATACTGCATATCACATATCAAGTGCATATCAAGTGCTTATCACATAACAGATGTATTTATTCATATATTGATTCATGTTTACTCCTGTCATCTTTGCAGTGACATCAGAGGCACTGTTTCCCCTAAAGATAGGGAAAGACAAAGAGCAATACCTTTAATTTGTCAAACTTATCATCGACATCCTGTAACCATGACATAAACTGTCGCGCGTTGAATCGATCCCTCACTGATGTTTTGCTGTCATCAGTCTGCAAAAAGAACACAAAAGAAAAACCACCTGTAAGTTGTTTGATAACTCGTATCAGACATGCTTTAAAACATGAAAACATACTTTGTGGCACCTTCATAAACAGCACTTCCTTGGAAAACTAAACTCCAAGTCAATGTATCAAGGTACATGCAAGCATATGTCTTGATCTCCCTTCCCTGAGCTAGCTGCTCTCCAGAAATGGTTATTCCCAGATCCCCTCAGGTTAAAGCTAATCACTGTCCTCTATTTTTAAAATTGGAGTAGGAGGCGTCAAGATTTATGCCTTAAAATCTTAATCAGTAGAAGGCAGATCTTCCACAACATTCTCTTTTTGTTCTTTTTAAAATTCAGTAACAAATCAAACGAATGTCCCCTCAGGGAAAAGCAAAACATTCATCAAGAAAATCTTAAGCAATCCGAGTTAACTGGCCACACAAGTATTCAAAACCAATTTAAGTAAAAATTACCACAGAAATCTGCAAAAGGGATTTTAAAAAGCAAGAAGGCATATCTTATTTGTCCTGCCCAGTTAAATCCATTCATATATTTAAAAGCTACTTAATGAGTCTGGAACACCAAATTTGTCCGTTGTGAGAAACTAGACTCTGTATAGTTCTTGCATAGCCAGATCATGTCCCTGTAATACTTCAATAACCATCACTAACCAGCACAGGCCCCTGCTGCATTTTTAGAAAAGAAAGCCTCCCCTTTTGCACGCTGCAGGAGAAAGCAGCAATGAGAAAGAACGGGGGAAAAAACTGCAAATGCTGAGGTCTCTAGAAAACTGCTGGCTAAGATCACAGGTATTCCCCAAAGGAAATGCAAATAGAAGGAGCCCTCAGCAACACAGGTTTCATGATCCTGAACTGCAGGTGTTTTGCTGGGCTGTAACCAGCCTGCTCGCCACAAATGGGGGCCTTTTTCTTCCCTATCTCTGCTCTGCTGCAAATGACCACAGGGAATGGTCCTTAAGGTCTGCATAACATTAGCAGTTATAAAAGCAAGCCTCAAAACACCAAGAAATCGCTCAGAAGCAGTTGTGGGAGTGTCATTTTCCTACAAAAAAAATCATTACAAATCTTTGTCAGCTATTTGCTCAAGTAAAAGAAAACCAAAATCAGATTTTTTTTTAAATCACAGAACACAATTAAGAGGTAGTGAGAGTTGTAGTATTTTACTACAACTGCTGTAGCGAATAAAAATGGCCAGAACAGCTGCAACACTTTGTGAAAGAAAAATAACCTCTCCTCCCATACAGATCCCTTTTGTTTTGCAGAATTCAAATACAAAAATCAGCTTTTTCAAAATCAATTGCAAAATGACAATATAAAAATGCAGATCCATGCAGAGCTCAGATGCACCCTCAAGTTCTAAAGAGGGTGCATCTCAAAAAGGGACAAAATACACCCAAGGACACTAAACTCCAAAACCTATAATGACATTTTGCTCATTAACAAAAGAGAAAAATCTCTTTTGAAGATGATGACTTAAAAATTTGGCAGTACAAAGCTTTAAATGGGCAAAAACCACAATCTTCATAAAACTGGTATTTTCTACTGAGTTGCTTTGTTCTGCATGGCTCTTTAAAGGTAGAAAAAAAGTAATGGCACAGGTAGAGGAAACACTGGAAGCTGTAACTAACATGTAAAGAGTTACAGCACTAAAGTAGAATTCCACACACGTCTGACACGTAGGTGTTTCTTTGTATAATGCTCAGCATTCAATGCATCCAAATGTTTATTACATCTGTAATAGCAAATTTCTTCCTTGTGTTACGTCTCCTCAGTTACCTAACCAGGTTCTGAGTGCAGTTCCTACTCCTCTTAGTTAGTAAACCTGTTCACAAAATACTGATGCCATCAAACCATCTTCTAGATACACAGCTACAGTAAACTTCAGAGAGACAGCCCATAAATGATGCAGATTAAAAGTATATTAAATTTGATTTCATGAAAAACAACAGAATCCTGGTTTAATCTTTCACATCATTTGTGGAGATGAAAGAAAACCAGGCAGAGTACGAAACATCAAACCAGTGTAAGTACCTGTGTCCTCTTGTTATTGCACTTCTAATGTGGTGTGCAACGCTGAGCAAAATGAGGCCTAAGCAAAATAACAATCTACAATACACAAAATCTTATCCCAAGCAAATCAATGACAGCTTCGGTATGGTAATGGAATTCTCTCCAAACACTCATTTTAAGTCAGACTAGAAAGGTACGCTGGTCCAAAATTTACCTGAGCATCCAGGGGCACATTGTAAACCTCGGCGTCCAGCAGAACAGTGCAGGCACTGAACGGTAGTGTTTGATTAGCTAGAGTCCTTGCTGCTCGGTAATGAACACGGAGGACTTCTTGCTCATTAGAAACAATAAGCTTTTCCTAATTAAAAAAAAATAATACATCAAATTTATCAACATATAAGCATTTCAGTTTGATTCATAAAAACGCTTTTGCATTTAAACTCATTGAGAACTTCCTGTAGGGACCTACAGCAAGCTGGAGAGGGATTACTTATCAGGGAGCGTGGCAGTAGGACAAGCAGTAATGGCTTTAAACTAAGAAAGGGTCGATTTAGGTTAGATATTTGGAATAAACTTGTCACTATTAGGGTGGCAAGACATTGGAACAAGTCACCCAGAGAAAGTGTGGATGCCCCATTCCCAGAGGTGTTCAAGGCCAGGCTGGACAGGGCTTTAAGTGACCTGGTCTAATATGAGGTGTTCCTTCCCATAGCAGGGGAATTGGAACTAGATGATCCTTATGGTCTCTTCCAACCCAAACCATTCTATTATTTTAACTGTGTGTCTTCTACCAATACAGCATTTATTGTTGCTTAAGTTCTTTGAATTCAGATGCTTTGGTTCTGAGATTGCTAACACTCCTTAGCCTTCAGAACTAGAGTCTACAGCTTTCTTCCCACACTCTGCTGCCCCTAGGAAAAATCTGAGCCACATCTTAGAGCAATTGAGAAGAAAAAGCCGCTGTCTTACTGGCACAAGTATTCAGTTAACAATCGTTCCAACTGTCACTGAATTTGTCATTACCTTTTTTCTCTTTTTTGTATTTACAAGTTTTTTCAATTCAGAAATTTAGCTAAAAGGCAGTGTAGTTCTAAAGCAGTGTTCAACTGAGCAAAGCCTATTCACTGAAAAATAAAAACCCGAGATTGAGAAATGATAGAGAAAAGTACTTCAGTCTTACCCTTTCAATACTGTGCTGTAAACGTAGTTTCATCCTTACAACCTCCTGTTGTTTAAATAGTTCCTTAAGTGGGTCTGACAGCGAGGGAGGAGGTGTAATCTGTGGAAAATGTTTTATAAATAGTATAATGAGTATGTATTTCATGTTTAACACTGCCTGAATGATTTGAGCATCTTTTAAAAAAATAAAAATAAAGGGAGGGGGGGTTCCTAGGGAAAAATAGGAGTTTTGTACATTAATTATATAACTTTAAACCATTTGCAATGAAAAGTTTTAAGGCTTCTTTACCAAAAAGTTAATAAACTTGCCTGCTTGTAATGCCATTTCAAACTGTTAATGCCAGTCACAGCCAACATATCACAGCTATTTTTTAAAAGGTCTATGCATTAGAAGATACAACTTGCTTTCAATTTTCTATAGCACAGCTGTTCATTTTGAAAATAAGGTAAAAACTGCCTAACCAGCCAGTTTCAAACTGCTACACAACACACACTTCACCTCTCTCCTAATGAAAATTGTTTGGCTCCCACAATACTGAGTGAGGTTTGACATCTCTTGCCCCTTTGTGCAAGCCATCATTATTAAAAGCAAACCCCACACTGACTGCAATAACCTGCCTCAGCTGTAGTCAATTTCAGCATGTTTAATGTTCAGTCTGAGGTATTTTGCAATCTAGATTTGCCAAGAAACTTTGTATTCATGACACACTACCACACTGTTGTCCCATCTTTTCAGTAAAGTAAGACAAGATGGTCATAATTACACCAAGCTTTGATGTAGCTAATATTACTAAAAGTGAATCTTTCAGAAAACTCAGTGCTTCAGCTAATAGAGAAACACACAGCTTAAGCAACACAAGCAGACTGCCTATAAAGTTATCCAGAAATAGAAATTTCACAGTTGACAAGCATCTGTATCACCTGAACAATATAAAATTCCATTATCAACTGTTTTTCCTTTGAATTCAAACACCACGTAATTTTGCAAGAGAAAGAAGAATTAACACCACCAGAAATAACTGGAAAGAATTTAATTATATAGGCAGCTCACTTGTATGGACTTCTATTAATAAATGTAAGAGAACTCTGTGCCAGTGAAGCTGCTATTGTACAATAGCTTCTATTGAAAGTAAAAGCATTTTTCAGGTCCCAGAACTCTTCCATTACATTACTGATCAACAACAGATATATTTTCTAACCAATACTCAAAAAGAAAATTAAAGTTTCACTTAATCAAGCAATTAGCAGCTTTTCAGTAGCCCTTCTGTATCACTAAAACCCATGGCACAAAATGTTTCAAGCAGCAGGTGGCAGCCTAAAACTGTAAATCAAAATGCACTGATGTTAAGCTCTTGCTGACTGAGATTTCTTTTGAAGGGCTCCCGATGTTAGCTAACCATGCCTCGATTCTGTTTCAAAACTAAAATTTTGTTTCTTGCTTTCAGGAGTTAAGTACACATTCTAGAAATTCAACCACACTAGAAGAAGCCACCCCGCACTGAGGGCTTCTAAACTGCAATAACAGTGGTCTTCCAGCAAAGGCTGAATCCCAAATACCCCAAAGCTACTCTCTGCAAACACTATTAGCAGTATGAAAAGCAACAGAAGGTTCTTCTGACCTCAGAGATTACTACAGCCTCTGTCTTTGAAAACATTAAACTAAGCACAGGACTGAATTTGCTTACTGTAATTTTCCCAAACAGTATGTTTTTCTGTTGTCTTGGAAAGTTTGGAAGAGCCTCAGCTACCCAGCTCTGCAAACTCGATCCCAGCAGTCTGACACCACCTACTGGAAATCCCAGACTGGGAACCGACGCTGGATTTGGACAAGAGAAAAAACCTTCACAGCCTGAAGGGAAACTGAAATAAAAGGTTTTGAGGGAAACTGAGGAATGAGTCTCACTCATCTTTGAGTCAAAGAGACTGCTAGGAATGAGTCAATTAAGAATGTGTAGGGAAGAGATGAACCTGTATGGTGGAAACACAAGAACAGAGCATGAAACTGGATGCCACAAGCAAAAAGTGGCCTCAGTTTCCTGCACAACCAGAGTAAGTTATCAAACAAGTTTTTTAAGCGGTCCAGGCTCCATATAGAGCATGATGGACAAGTGACTGCTGCCTTCTCGCGTGTTCTCTAATCCTGAACAAATGTCCAAGAAAAATTCAATGGTGCTCAGCCCTTCAACACTCTGATCCACTGCATGAGAAGGCAGCCTCCTGAACAGTTTTGTTCAGTAATAGGGAGCAAGATGTATCTGCAACATCTCCAGCACATAAAAATAAATTACAAGTTCCCTGCATGTTTTGCATCCTTCAGATCAACAAGAATATTGATGCTTCATGCTGTAAAACCTGTAATTCCCATTTGCGATTGCTACAAGAGCACTAACTCAGATTCACACATATACAGCATTTCCAAGATTATTTTTGTGTGTCCCTCTTGCTATCCAAGTCAACTGGCTTACTATGCTATTTAACATTTAATTAATTTAGGAAGTAAGTATCTGATAACATCACTAAAACAAGTTTTACTGTGTTTTTCCAGCAATACCAGAGAGACTGGACAGAATTCCTTTGTTGGAAACACGTCTGTTAGACAGTCAGGGGAAGCTGGAAATCTTGGCATCTCTCCTCAGGAGGCAGTACAGACAAAGCTGACAGAACCCCATTGAATACGCTGATGTAGAAATCCAAAGACACCATAGCTAAGTATGATTTACATTTATTCTTAGGACATTCAGATGTTTCCTTCCATTTTGAATTGACCTCATGTCACTGTCTTACATTTGCACTGGCAGAGGGAAGTCACAATTCATATTAAGTATCACTACTGCAACCTGAGGTGATCTGGGTCATAAATTACAGTATATAAACAAAGCAGAGTGAAATCAAACTTGAAAGCACCATCTCCTGGTTCCCACCTACAGGATGTTTGAAGTTCCTCAGACAAACAACAGCTTATCATTAAAATCTCAATGCAGAGAACAAGCAGTACATTATGTGAACTACTCTGAGTCTCAGAGCTAAATAAATTTTCTTCTCGTAGACATTCACACAATGATACAGCAATAACTTAAGAACAAATATCTGCCTTCCTACCTATGAGTGAAGCAAAAATCAGGTTAACAGAGAATCATTAAAGAACTACTTAAGGAAAAACATAAAAACAATTCCAACAGAAAGGTCATTTTATTGTTGCACATCACATTATGCATCGAGTCACTTACACTCAAATGACTCAAAACTATGAGGGCAGCTGATGTGCCAGAAGGTGTGCTGCTGCTTTCCAGTGGGAGAGGATGGAGAAACAAACTGGCAGAACCCTCAAGAAATTCAGCAAGGAGAAGTGCAGAGTCCTGCACGTACAGAGGAGCAATCTCAGGCACCAGTATGTGCTGGGGAACTGCCCAGCTGAAAAGCAGCACTGGGGTCCTGTTGAACACCAAATTGAACATGAGCCAGCAAAGTCCCCTTGCTGTGAAGAAGGCTAGTGGTGTCCTGGGCTGCACCAGGGCAAGTACTGCCAGCAGTACCAGTAGGGCCACATTTGGAGTGCTGGGTCCAGTTCTGGGTTCTCCAGCTCAAGGGAGACATGAACATATTAGAGACATTCTTACAAAGGACCACATGATGATGACAAAGGGACTGGAGCATCTCTGTTATGAAGAGAGGTTGAAAGAGATGGAGCTATTCAGGCTGAAGAAGAAACAGCTAAGGGGAATCGCAGCAATACCTGAAGGGAGGGTGCAAAGAGGACGGAGCTACACTCTTACCCATGCTACCCAGTGCCAGCACAAGAGGCCACGGGCACAGACTGGAGCACAGGAGGTTCCCTCTGAACAGCAGGCAGCACTTCTGTGCTGTGCAGGTGACGGAGCACTGGCACAGGCTGCACAGAGGCTGTGGGGTCTCCTCCTTGGGGATCTTTGTAAACCACCTGGATGTGGACTTGGACTCCCTGCTCTGGGTGACCCTGCTGCAGTGGGACCGGGGAACCCAGAGGGCCCTGCCTGCCTCAGCCATGCTGCGATTCTATGATTAATATTCCATTTGGCATAAGTTACCTAAGAAATTACACTACACAACCATCTAAATTTATTCTCATGAACTAAAGAATCCCTACTACACAAAGTCAGAGAGACAGGAAGGAGGTATGAGGAAGTACTTAGAAGTTCTTCCTTCCAGTGCCATTTGTGATGGGGAAATGAGCTTATTGCCAGGGTAGAAGGGCCATTGAAAAATATAAACTACACTTCTTCATTTCCCAATAATCTCAAACTAAGCATTGACATTTAATGCCAAACCTGTAAGCTGTAGCTTAGAAACTGCATGTAGTTGGCTAGTAGCTGCCATAAAAAAACAAATACATCTCTGCTTCTGGTGATAAAAATACACTACAAAAGCTGAAACAGCAACTGAGAAAGATTTCTAGACCAAGGAAGACCTGGTATATTGTAGCAAAGTTTAGCATACATCGTAGGTCACTTGCAGATCAAATAAAATAGTAACCTTATGCACATCTTTCCTCCCATAGTTTTCTCACAGCTAACTTGCTAATTTCAAAGAAATCCATCAGTTCCTATCAGAGAGAGAAAATGTTAAAGGATATACATACTCCGTCATGCAGACATGGGGCATGTATGGTGGAAAAAAATGAGAGGAAAGAGCTTCCACAGTAACAATGACTACCTCTGGAATAAAGCAACACAAATTGTAAAATGTATTTTTATATACATTAAATTTCATTTACATTTACAAATTTAATATACATTAAAGTGTTCACTGCTTAATCAAAAAGGATCTTCAGCTCTACTGGAAAAAGCTATACTGCATCTCAGGTAGGAAGTTATCTTCAGTGAGTCAACAGAATAGCTGGTCCATTCAGAAGTACAGAGCCCCAAACCAGGTTGCTTACAGAGCTATTTCATATGCACAGACCATTCAGTTTTGCAGGTATTTCTGCTATCAAGGGATTACAATATTCTCCCTACTCCTCCTAAAATTGGATTTTTCCTTGACACATCCTAAGTAACGTACATACAATCCAATACTACTGAATTCTGACATTATCAAGACACTGTATGTCAGCCAAACAACTGCTTTAGGTAATCAATGATCTCTCACTATTCCAGCTATTAAGCGTATCAACTGAAACCATTCAAACAGGTTCAAGCTCCTTTTACTTCAGTACTAGACAAGGTTAACTCTGGGTGTCCAATCAGTTAAAGTATATCAGATGAAAACCACCTTCTATTCCCAGGAGCAAGAATGTGGCTAGCAAAAAGCCCCCAGTGCACAATGTATTGGGTCTTCTCCATCCCCTCCACCTAGAACAACAAGCACAAGCGTGCTGAAGAACAAAGGAAGAGCTACCCTGATTGCACTGACTTCAAACAGAGACTAGCAGTAACCAAACCACTGTTACACTGTTACATGCTTTGAGGTGTAGTGCCACAGTAAAATGTGGTATTAACTACACTTCAGCCAATTCTGCGCTACACTGCACAGAGGACTCCCAGATTACAGGCCTCTTTCACAGCTGTCATTAGGAATATGCCCAGCAAATCTATAGAGAGCTTAGAACTAAACAAGTGTCCCTGGACTACAGATGGTCTTCAACAGAAAGGACTTCACATGAACTACAATTCAGAACACTTTAAATTGATGGATGACAACAGCTGGGACACAGCATATTATGTTCACTGCTTTGGTGAGTATTAAGGAGACTGCAACAGCTAGCAGGCACTCTCCTGCTTAAAACACTGGTAATAGACTTAGTATGTTAACACACTGCACTTCCACCACTCTCCAAATAAAACAGCTTTGAATAATTAGTTTTACCGACACTATTGTTGGTAGAAATTTGGAGAAGCTCTAAACAGCTACTTCGGTTTTAAAAGTGTAGGCATTATAGTAGCAAATACTTTGAAATATTTGTGTGTCTTTTACAGATACTATACATGATGGTTTATCTTGTAATGACTTTGACACCATTGCTTGTATGTCCATCAAACACTGCTTTTAAATACGTCATTACCAGTAAATGTTAATTTGACATATTGCAACTTAAGATTTTCAGCTCTGGTAATCAGAAGCAAATTAGGAAGAAAATGAAAGTGACAAAAACAAACAAAAAAAACCAGTGTCTTTCCTTGAACTGCATATTTAAAGAACACGTTACTTACAGTTGGAATGCATATCTTGCTCAGGGGATTGCCATCCAGTAGATAAGATCCGTTGAAGGTCACATATTCATCATAATATTGAGGTGCCTGAGGAATAACACTGCACAGTAACTTACGCTTCTCTTCTATCTTTTTTCGTATGTGCAAGTATTCAAAATATGGATTTGCTCTCTCAGAACAGTACGGCTGGATCTCTTCAAGTTTCAAAGAATCAACGACAGCTGCCAGTGACTGCTGGGTTTTCTCTTTAGCCTGCAGTAGAGAAGGGTTCGCTTGCACAGGCTGAGGTACACGAGACACCTTTCTTTTACGTGGATGATGTACCTGACCATCATCATCTTCAGTTAATCTAATCCTTCCTTTCATAGATGCTAATAATTCAGACTCCTTTTCTAACGTCTGCATGCAGCCAACAGGATTCTGTTTGCCCTGGTTTGCCAGTACATTTGCTCTATTTCTTGTGATTCTTTGAGGTACTTCTTGCTGTTCCATCTTCTGATCCTCAGCAATTTCTTCTTCCAGTTTAACTATTTGACTGTATTTATGCACCTCTTCTTGTATAATCTCTTGTGAACTATTTTCTGCATTAGATAAAGAGTACTGCAGTGCTTCATCTGTCAACACATTCTCTCCGTCGGCAGTGCAGGGCTTTTTATTAGATGAATCGTTCATAATTCCCTTTGACATTGCTGAACGTAGATCACAGAGATCAGTGTCAGCTTTACTGTTAACAACATGCACAGAAATCAAATTTTCTTGCTGGTCTTTTTCATTCCTGATGTTCGAAGTATCCACTGTGTTACCATCCACTTCAAACTGAGTATTCCTGCAAACAAGTTTATTGAACGCATATGAATTTACATTTAACTGTGAACTGCCATCAGATTCAGGAATATCTTTTTCTAACACCACCACAGGTAAATCATTCACCCTTTCACAGGTCTGTGAAATATCCTTCACAGAGCTCTCAGAATATACAGCATGTGGTGCATCAGCCTTCTGAATGTTGGAAGGGATGAAAACATTTTCCATCTCTCTGGTGCTACTAGCATCTGTATTGATGGCAGAACTTACAGTTTGAGCTAGATTGTGTTGTACAAGTAAGGAATCTTGATTGCTAATGCCTGGTAAAGAAATGTGTTTAGATCCATCTGGAAGTGGCTGGATGGGTAAGGAACAAGGTGACTGTGAAGGCAAGAACGATGCAGATTCTTGAGAACTGGAATTTCCCTTGATCTCAGCATGCTGGGGTAAATATTCAGCTACTTTTTGCTCTTTTAATGTCCGGTTTTCAGAATTATGCATTGCTACAAAATTATTATCTTGCTCTGATACATCATAACCTGAGCTGCTACACTCATTGTTTATTGAATTAAGTTTGTCAAAAGGCACATCCCAAGGTTTGGTTTGCTGAGTCACACTACTTTGACTACATGGTTCTAAATGAATATTGTATTCTTCTGAGGGATTCATCTGAGCAATATTTTTAGTGGTACTTGTACCCACTGTTACCTGCTTGTTGCTAAAAGCTCCAGTTGGAGACGACTGCAAACCAGAAAAACTGCTTTGAATATCTCTTTCAACCATGCTACACGGGAGTTCAGGTTTAGGAGAAGTGCTGGGATAAGTCTGAACTGACATCTGAGCATTCTGGTTATTTTCCTCTGATGTTCGAGGCGGTTTGCTGTGTTCAGAAACAGAAGCAGGCATGCTGCATCTTCGAACCTCTACAACAGGTCTACACTCATTTAAAACCAGTTTGAAGTCTTCAAAAGATGCTGATCTGATGTATGCTGGTGGAAGCCTGTTTGCAAAAGATGGCTTCATCCGATCAGGCAATTCGGCAACACCATCGGTCTCTCTTTCAAGAGGGGCTGGTGATTTGGCAGCTGGCAAAAACGATGATTGTGAAAAAGACATTTGGGAATCAGCGCCTTCTAGCACAAAATCTGAGTCATGTTCCATTGAAGGTCTTGGAGTAGTTACTGTGGTATGGCAGGAATCCTCAGAACTTGCAACTGAAATGATGGACACTGATCTGGAGCTCTTTTCACCTTCTGATTTGGGGGATTTATTTGAATTATCCGAAACCAATAAAGACTTTATAACATTTACATTTCTTGTATCTACCGATTGGGATCTACTACTCGTAGCTTCTTTCTGCTGTTTCTCCTTCACACAAAAATCTGGCAACTCTGAGCTTTTTGAACGAGTAAGCTCTTTGTTTTTTACTTCAGGTAATGACTGCCTTTGTTTTTCTTTTATCTTGCTAAGTTCTAAACAAGTGCGACTTCTTAAACGCTCCTTCTCTTTCTGTTTTATTTTTTCTTTATGTTTTCTATGCCACTGCTCAATTTCCAGATCTTTAAGGCTAAGCATTCTTTCAAAACTAGTTTGCATTAAATCATCATTGACTAACCTTTTTTCTTTAGGTCGAACATCCTTTGGTGCAGGAGATGTTTTAGGCTTAAGTTTCTCATGCTCGAGTTTTAGCTTAAGTAAACTACTTTGATGCTGTTTATGCTTGTCTCTCTCTTTGTATCTGTCTATATCTTTATCTTTTTTATCCTTCTCTCTGCCGTCTGGAGTTTTCAAGAAATCATCTTTTTGCTTTTCTTTCAAAGACGTCAGTTTGTCATGCACTGATTTATTGCTGTCTATAATGTTGCACCTTCTTTCTTCTTGCACGTGTTTTGAGTTCACTGCTGTTGAACTCTCTTTGTCTCTGGATTTGTCTCTTCTTTCAGGCTCCTTGTCTTTAGCTCTGTTTTTTTCTGACTTAGTATATTCAGGTTCTTTTTCAGACTGTTTGACTTTTCTTTCAATACTGTGTTTTTCCTTGCTGTCAGCCAAATGTCTGTCTTTATCAACCTTTTCTTTGTCATGCTTCTTTTCCGTCTTTTCTTTATTTTTTTCTTTGTCATCAAGTTTCTTAAGAGTACCTGTGCTTTTTATTTTATCGTTTTCCTTATGGCATCTTTCAGCTTGCTGGGAACTGGTCTTTTCCTTTACTTTCTCTATATTTTCATTCACTTCTGCTTTCTCTGTCTTACACTCGTGTTTTATTTTTTTCTCTTTTTCCCCGCTTTTTCTTTCTGTCTTTTCAACATCTTTTTCTTTGGCTGAGGTTCGTTTTTCTTTATTTTCCTTTAAATTCTTTTCATGCTTTTCAGTATCTGTTTCTTTTTCTATTAAGTGCATGCTAATCACCTCATCTTTAACACTTAAGCAGAACAATTCCATTTCTTTATCTGCAAGTATAGTTTCTTTTTCTTCTTTCGCGTCTTTCATTTTCTCATCCTTAAGAAACTTCTCATTTTCCTTTTTGTTCTTCTCTCTCTCCTCCCTAGCATTTCTCTCCTTGTGGAACTGTCTCTCCTTAGCTAACCTGTCTTCCTTTGCCACAGCTTTATCCAACTTCGATTTTCTGTCTGAAGGAAGAGTTTCATGTTCTATATTTAACAGTGTTTCTTCACTTTCATCACTTTTGAAAAAATTTTCTTTCCAAAATTCTCTGTCAAACTCAATACTTCTTTGGGACTCTTTAATATTGTGTTTATGTTTTTCCTTTTCCCCATCCTGATCCTTCTTGTCCTTATCTTTTTCTCTTTCTTTGTGCTTTAATTTATGCTTTTTAAGTGCTTTACCTTCCTTGTCAATCTTTCTCAGAGTATACTCTGAGTTGTCAAATGTAGGGTTATTATCTTCATCTTTAACTTTAGAGCTAGATTTTTCACCAAATTCTAACTGAAAATCTTTCTGATGATGCTTGCTTTTTTCTTTATGCTTACAAGATTTGCCACTAGAGCTTTCCACTAGATACTCAGCATCCGCACTGTGATCGCACCGAACCAATTCAGGCTGTAATGCTGTTTCTGGGCCTCCTGGTGATAAGCAAGTTTTGGTGTTTTCTTGCTTTAATGCTGTTGCTTGCTTTTCACTTAATCCACAGGGATGCTTAGGAGATTTGCCAGCAGCAATATGAAATAGTTGTAAAGAAGAATCTTCTTTTTGGCTGAAAGACTTCTTAAATGTTTCTTCATCTCTAGCTTTATCTAAAGAATCTAACCCCGAAGTAGTGATATTTGTTACTCTAGCATTTTCTTTTTCTTGTTTTAGTTCCTGATTCTCTTTATTTTTACTTTGATTTTTTACTTTCTTTTTAACTTTGCCTTTTTGCTTGTGTTCATTTGTAACAACACATTCTTTCTTTGCTCTTACATCAGAACTTGAGGTCTCTGAAACAGAAGAAGGAGAGACTACCTTTTTGTCCTGGAGTATTTCTTCATCTGAGCTTTCAGAACTTGAATACAAAACTCTAGATGGCTTTTGTTTCTTGTTTTTAAGTGATTTTGAAAACGTAACTTTTTCTTGTTTCGCAAATAAGCTGTTCTTTTCAACTTCTGTTTCATCCTCTTTCCTTACATCTTTTCTAAGAATATGTCTGTTATCAATCATTTTCTTCACTTCATCTTCATCATCATCTTTAAACTCATATTCATCAAGTGCAGGTGGATGTGGTGCCTTACTGTGAACAATTTGTTTGCTGCCGTTGGCTACAGAATCTTTTTCCACTTCTGAATCAACATTCCCCTCTACACTGGAAGGATTTACAGATGGAGCTTCTTCAGAATCTACATGGAGAAAACCAGAAATTAGCTGAATGTCAATGGAACGTTCTCATTAAGTTCAGGACAAAAGGACCAAACTGGCAAACTTACACAAAACAACAAATAACAGAATATAATTAGAAATGTGGCCTATTCAAAACAGTGAGCAACACTGCCTTAGTCCCTACCACATAACAGATTGCCCTGACAGAAACTATAACCAAAGAAATACAAAGATTTCATAATGTACAGTTCCTACCAATATCCTCAGATATCTTTAGATACACATTTTTAAATCCATTAAGGCCTTTTGTATGCAGCAAGATTCTTAGTTTTTATAAATTAGGATTATTAATTTTTCAAAATAATTGCAAAACAATTAAGATTGAAGACGCAGAATGATAGACAGCGAAATCTTAGGCAACAGAAGTCAAGTTTATAATTCACAAGTTCCTGTACATTTTATAAAAACACTACCCTTACTTTAATCTTCACTTGTAACCATAAGATGCTTACCACATCAACAAAAGGGCATAAACATCAGTTACACTGCCTTACAACTGAAAGAAGACAAATCCTCAAAACACATTACATATGTTCTTTCTAGAATTAAGCTTTTCAAGAAAAATCAAAAGAGAAACCAATGTTCTCACAATTTACAAATGTCACACAGGTACCTAAGCACATGGATTACCATTTATATCCCAATCAAATAAAAGTAACACTCTAAGTTCAGTAAACCTCATCTTTAATGTGTAGTACCTGCATAACCCCTTTCTCAAGTGTGTCTTTCTGCTGATGACTCATTCCTCAAGGAATTCATCAACTTCTACACTTTCCAACAACTAAACCATATTCTCCTCCACATGAACTGTCAAAGTACCTTGTTTCAACAGTAGGTGAACTTTAATTCTTAAAGACAAAGAGCTGCTATTGTAAAGAAACTCCCCTATGAATTTTTAAGCACCTGATGTAGACAGTCAGAAGTCTGCTAGGCTTTCATTCACTGCAACTGGTCTCTAGTATGTAAGTGCACGGCATGAAACAAGTATGCTGTACTGACTGTCCTGATTTGCAAGTTCAAAATTGCAAGCTGAACTTGCAATTCAAGCTGAACTTGAATTCGGTTATTCAGTAATTGTACAACTGAACAATGGAAATCTCTAAACTGTTTGCGAAGTTAGATTTTACACAACATACGCAGTGTTATCACCACTTGATCATGACAAAATTAGTACTAAAAAGTCTTTCAGAAATATTTCTGGATATATTGTTCCCTCCAAATAAGGTTCTTCCAACTCAAGTCTCTCCAGCTGAATTTATCATTTTGTTGTTTTTCTTAAAGGAAGAGAAATCACAATATCAATAAAACAGAACTAAGAAGATCCTATTATCTTCCGTATTATCTGTGGCATTCAGAACGCGTTACTTGTTTGTGCTATCAGTTTTTTTTATTCCTGGTTTCTTAGGAAGCTGCAGAGAAAGTTCTGTTCCTCCTGGAAACTATATCCCAACTAAGAAACACCCTGAACAGACAACCATTGATGAAACAATTACTAAGTAGTAGCAAGTTTCTATTACATATGTGGAAAAATATTCTTCTTAAGATCAATAGTTAGGGCAAGCTTTAGTAAATCCTGTGACAAAATGCCATGACTATCCTTTAAAACAGGATGACTATGCTTTGCTTTTCAAGCTATTTTTTTTTTCAAGCTATTCTTTCAATATGCAAAAAAGTCACAACTACATAGGTCAACATGACTACTGTGCTTCAAGTATAGAAAAACATTGAATAAAAAGCTTGCTTTTAAAGAAAATGAAGTTTGTCAGGGAAAACTAAAATGACTCTAACAATCATGTGGCATGAGTACCTCCTCACATAACTTTACTTAAAAAATATGAATTCCTTCCTCTGTGATAAAGAAAAGTTTGTGCACAGCACTCGAGCAAGTTACTCATGGTCAACAGTCTTCAGTTTCCAAGGAGACAACAGTTCTTTCCCTACCCCAAGAGGGGATACCTTTCCCTGACATGGCAGAAATAAAATAGGGGTCAAGAATCCCTGCCTGCACTTAAACAAGATACGACCTGGTCACCTTTACAAGTCAGTGATTCCTCCATGAGCAAGAACTTGTTTACTGAGCAAGCATTATGAAGTCACCCCCATGTGAAATTCTTGCCCCCAGTTCCTCTACTGAGGATACAAAGTGACTATGGGAATATTTTTCCCAATAAGACCTCTTGAAAACATCTCTGTACTCCAAATAAAATAAATTAATAAGTAAAATTAATACAATAAATAAAACTGATAATATAAATACTGTATTATCTCATATTTTTCTCCAACAAAATCATACTGAGATAGAGCTGATTTGGAGGGTGGAAAGGGATTAATGGAGAGAAAAAAAACCACAAATACATTATGGATAATTCAATTCAGTAGAAAGATCTGAAAATTATTTCTAAAAGTAGAAAACAATCTTAAAAATTGCACTTGCTATCTGCAGCAAGTCTTCCTAGGTAACACTATGCAAAAGATTAAAACCATCAAATTTCAGATTAATTGATGCACTGAAAGAAGTATGCAGTGAAACGGGTACTGTTACCTGAGCAACTGTCCTCATCATCAGAGATAGGTACCTCCCTTTTCAATAGCATTTCCAGCTCTTCAGTTTCAGCTACATCAACTGGCCTCTCTCCGTGCTTATTGGCCTGAAATGGATTTCCACCATGTCGAAGCAACAACTTCACAATCTGCAGCATTAAATAAAGGAACCTTTAGGTTTTCCAAAAGCATTAATTAACCTGCATAAAAATGGCTCCACGGGTCACAAAAGGTGAATAATGTGAAACTGAACTCCAAACTTCTCTCTGCGAAGTTGGTATCATAAATGAAGACTTCAACAACTAAAACGCAAAGACCAAATATCCATAATCAGCTTGTTAGAAGAGCCAATGGAGAAGAAAGTTGTCCGTAATTAAACGGATACAGTAACATCAGAAAGAAACAACATGACCCTTTTGATTCTCACTGTTCTGGCATCACTTCACAGAAATCACCTGGTTTCTCACCTACCAAGCTCTCTATTCATCTGAACTTAACCCACCTCATTGCTACAAAATGCGTACCACTGAAATCTAACGGGACAAGTTTTCCAAGTAGCAATATTACAAGTTTCCACGGCATTTCAGAAAAGTTCTGTTAGAACCTATGTGTCATTGGAGGAATAAATTATCCCTTGTCCCCAACTGAATATCATAGAGTGACATTATCAGTGTCTGTCATTAAGAGCAGAATTATTAAAGTTGCAGTGATATTAAGGCTGCTGCATCTTAATCACATATCCAATATCAGTTAGTTTTTATTGTTTTCTTTCGTTGTTTTTTTTGTCTACATGATAAAAATGTGAAAATTTAGCAGACAGCAATATGGTTGCAAGACACATCAGCATTTTTTTGACACGTAACGTCACTGAGACAATCAGAGATTCCAAGGCCAGACTATGCTGTACTATCTCAAGCAAGCTCTATCTAAAGGCCCACTTTTGTTTTGATATCCATCAGATACGGTCACTAAATCATTAACAAAACTTTCACAAATCTTATTCTTGCATTTCTCTTCTCTAACATTTCCACAAAACCTTTCCAAACTGGATAGCTTGTTTGAAAGGTACATTTTATCTATACGTACTTTATACCTTCAATTTTATAAAGCAAATCACACACAGTAATTAAATGAAGGAGACATAAAAAGAGAGAAGACTCATTGTTGCACCTAGTTTACAGAGAACAAATTCGGAAGCATGTAGAATGCCTATGATACTCCCTTTATCTTCTCCTCTAACTCACCATGTGTGAGTACTGAAAAAAATAGTAAGGATATACATAACATCGTTCTGTTTCAAAGTCCACAAACATAGTAATAACTGTTAATTTTTATATGTATATATAATATATATAGTAAAAACTATGCATATAACAAACAACATAATAAATACATAGTATTATTATAATGCACAAAATACAGAACTGTTTATAATTTAAATACGTAGTATTATTATAATGCATAAAATATAGAATTGTTTATAATTCACAAATATTACACAGATTAAAATAATATTATGCAAAATATCACATACTATTATCAGATATATAGAAGGATAGATGATTATAAATAAAAGCATGTCTTACAGTCTTGTATGAACTGAAATAAAAAGCATTTCTTTAAACTTGCAGTATATGGTTTGGAAACATTTTGTTATTGAGAATTCTACATGATGTAAATCTCTTAAAGATCATTAAGATATCTATTTAAAAAGTAAAAGTGAAATTTAAAGCATTTAAGAAAGCAGATACTGGTAGAAAATACCTCACAATAGAGTTATGATGAAAGCAGGATGGAAAAGCAAACCAAAAAAGCTTTAAGATGTCCCCAAGACAGCAGAAATAGTATTACAAAACCCCATGAGACTAGTCAGAATAGTAAGGATTTGTTCTAATGATTGAGCATTTCAAGCCACTTATTTGCTTCCCTTACTCTCACAGCACACTCACATTTCTATGCCCACTACTAGCAGAATCATGAAGTGGTGTATCATCATCCAAACCCTGCGTGTTCACGTCAGCTCCTGCTGCAATCAGGACTTTAGCAACATCATAGTAACCAACATTACAAGCTTCATGCAGTGGGGTCCAACCTACAATAAAGAGTGGTAAATATAAGTTTGAAATTTAGGAATTAGTTTGGTTTTGCTTTCTCCTGTACTGTAGAGCTCTATGTCCTTGAAACACTTCAAAATATACTCATAGAGTAGTGTGGGAAAGGGTAACACCATCCATCCAGTGAGCACATGCTTTACCAGCCTTACCCCTCACAATGAGCTATAGATTTTTATTTCCACATCAATAATCTTAAATTTAGTTGCTTCCCATTTTCTGCAGTAGAGCCTCAAGCGAAGATGATAAATCTGTATTTTCTACACTCCATACTTCAATCTCCTCTCCTCCACTTGATTCCTCCCATTCCATAGATACCCTAAACTTCCAGGCTGTTCTTCAATAACTTTCCGAAGTCTAATTCTGAAAGGGGACTCAACTTCCACTTTATAACACAGCCAGTGCAAGTCTGGAAGAGTTTATTCACTTCAACTCTACATTCTGTAAGTCGTGGTCTCATACCTCTGTTCAGAAACTCATGATTTATCTAGTCCTTCTTTAAGGAAATTTCTTATCTTCATCTCTCACTCAACTTCTGATACTTATTTAAAAATATTTTTTATATATTTTTTATTTTATATATTTTTTATTTTATATATTTTTTATTTTATAT